CGTTGTTAAAACGTTTGTTATAGAGCGACTGTTAAAAATAAGTGTATCGGTAAAGTTATATTCACTTATGTCGCTAAAGTTTCGTCGGAACGAAGTTACGGAAAATCAATTAACGACTGGAGGCGTAACAGTACTGTCTGTTGTATGTTCATGTAATTACTTCGCAGAGTGTGGATGAATCTTCACTAAAATTGGTATGGAGGTTATTTAGGTCCATGGGGGGGGGGGATACATACACATTTTCAGTTTTCCATTTTGCTGTTTTATACCACTACTTCACCCCCTGTTGATGGATATTCACCAAATTTGACATGAAGGCTTGTTGGGTCAATGCGGAGGTACATGCAAATTTTCGGTTTCACAATTATATATAAGAGAAGCAACTTTCCAAGTCCTAAGATAACCTTTCACTTATCATGAATTAGCTAATTATTAATATAAATGAACAATTAATAACTACTGTGCATGCAAATAGTACAGTACTTTACTATAATAAAACATACATATTTATGCTAATTTAAGTCCAGCTCCCTATGCAGTGTTACAACAGAATGATGATTTGTTGGCTTTTCATTCGATGTTTGTGGACTTTACGCGAACAGCCATGAAATTGTTTAAGCTATGATTGTTCAAACATTCTGCGTATGGGTTTGTAAACGCATTCGGAATGAGGCTGTTTACGATTGCAGTGCTAGTTATCTGACGTTCTTAATATAGGTAGCTAATATTCATTGATCTTTATGTAGTATATATACCTAACCTTTCATTATAAAAAAAGCTGTGAAATCTTTATCATTTTTACTTTCGTTCAGCATAATTTCCGTAATCAAATTCCAAGATCGATTTTTGGTGATCCTACCTTTAATACAAAAAGTTACACAATTTTCCCGTACAACAATCTAGTAGATATCTGTAACATGTAAGCATTTACTTATATGTCATCATACCTATGGATTTTATTTGTATTATTTGAAACTTTACCTAACAAACAAAAAATTATAGGAATTTTAAATTTCTTAGTTTATAAATCTCTGATTTAATTCTGGTACAAACCTTGGTAACAAAATTAACGTTATCAATTAGAGATGTATGCGGTTTTTACCTTAATAGAAGTGGTCTATTGTAACATTTATTTAAGTTTGTATGCTCCAGTGATTATAATTTTAAAGTTAATAATTTTGCGTGAAGTAAGTTGATTAATTGTCAAATTCAAATATTCGAAAACTTGTTATTGAGGATAGAAATGTGTTAAGTTTTTAGACTATTGCTTTAAATAAAATATGGGTAGTTGATAACTAGTACATTTATGTTTGATGTGGGACACACAGTAAAATATAATTCAAAAAAGTGATGTGGCAATAAATGTAGTAAAATAAATGGCACAGAGTAATATTCATACTGTATTTCGAAACATATACATTTTATGAACATGACGTTTCAGGCGAAAAAACCATTACAAATGTGGAAACGCGTCAAACCGGAACAAATATCCTCAATGCATTGTATACAAAACTGCGGGAAAAACTTGTGTAAATTTTCGTTTTTCCTGTCATATGTTGGTAAATCTATGAAAGTATCTTTGTTGTATAATGTAGATTTGATAGCCACTATTAACATGTTTTTGAAATTAAACGTCTATTTCACATTTGTAGACTGAATAGATTCGTCAACATCCACTTTAAAAACAATAATGCCGAAAGTCGACACCTGATTTTGTGATTGCCCAAAATCTACAGTTCTATATTTTTCATTAGTTGTCTTATTTTTTGGTACATTCAAACCGTGGCAGTTCTATTGTTGAGCGATAGAGGACGCTGAATTTCTCAAGTTGGTTAACATCTGGTATGAACATTTTAAATAACTATAGAATGATAGGTTTCTTTTTTTTTTGTTGAGTGTAAAACACTTAAAAACTCCATTTCGATACCTATAAAGGCATGGTTTAGTCTGAAGTTTCATTTGGTG